GTTTTAAAGAAATGCTGATATTTCATGAAATATGTTACACTACACTTGCTGTGAGGGACCTAAAGGCTACTCTGATCCTATATATCCCATACGACAAATCCAGGCACATTGGATTGTCCCAAAATTTGGAAATGATACCTGAGAGATTTTGACCTTGAATGTAAATGTGATGCTTCTCCACAGAGGTGTTGGGGCCGAACCTCTGCTACCATGGAACCGGATGCTCCAAACCCAAAATGCAGCCTTCCAGCCAAACCAGTACCAGATGCTAGCTGGGCCGGGCGGGTATCCACCCAGACGTGACGATCGTGGAGGGAGACAGGTGATGGATGTGGTATGGGCTTTGGGGTGGAAAGCTTACTGCTCACTTTGTACTAACCGTACGTCTTAAGACTCCATGATTGGTTGGTTGTTTTAAAAAACATCTCTGTGTAAGTACTGTTAAGAGTAGCTCGGTTGCCCTTGGATCTCTCATTAAAAATGTTTATGGGGTGAGTGCCTCACTAAATAGGTTGTACTTTGAAGATGCTGAAGAATTTTCAGACCAAAAGCCTCTTTAGCAGTCCAATATTTAGCAAAAATATGGTCCAGCACCAAAACATATTGTTTTGCCTTATGATGTTGCTTTTTGTTTTATTAGAAACTAGATCTCTCAAAATGAATGGTAATTTTCTAGAAGCTGAAAGGAATCTCACCTTTTCAGCTGTTACCTTTATTCCGCTTAGGAGTTTTGTGTCTTGATTTATCTGCTGTATCTTCATGGGATGAAATCACTCCTAATTTCCCACTTTTTTTTTTTAAACTAAATTTAAACTAGCTATACATGGAATGAGTATAGTAATTCCTAGACAAATTCATTAAGAGAAGCTTTCTTTCTTTCTCTTTATAGCATTCAGTGGTAGCAACATTCAAGCCTGAGGTCTGTTTGCCTCAGTCTGTCCCTCAGCCATTTGACACCCTGGCCAGTGTTTACATGCTCTTTAATCCACTGCTTGCCAGAGAGCAGGGTCTGAATGCAGTGATTCAGAGTTTGTGGCATTCGTGGAGCTGGCACCTGTGGTGATGTGAAGTGGGTTTTAAATTGCTCACCTTGTGTTACCTCCGCCTTTTGCAGTGCTTCGAATATTAATTTTCTAAGTCAGTTTCTTGCCGTGTGTCCCTTTGTTCTGACAACTGAGAAGAATCTCCTGCCATCTAAGAAAAATCTTTTCTTCACTCTTTTTTTGGTGTACTCTTAAAATGGTCTCAGTTCACTTTACAAGAAAATAACCATCTTAGTTGTCCTTTGAGAGAATTTTGTAACAGTTCTTTAGACGTATAATATTACTTTGCATACATACTGTCTGCCCAGAATCTCTACAGATGATATCAACAGGTTCTCTAGATTGAGACTTTATGTTGCTAGAGTCAAGTGACACCAGGCAACCTAAACAGTGAATATTATTGAAAGGAAGGTGTACCTGCAACTAAGAAGCTCTGGAGAAATTTGAGTCCACTCCCCTCATTTTCCAAGTCAGGAGTTGAAACCTCAAATCTCAGCAGCAGAACTAGGGGCACCTGTTAACTTCTGACCCCAGTTCAGTGGCTCTCCTGCCTCCTTTAGGGGAGACCCGCTTTTTAGAGGAGCTTTCTGCTGTTTTGGGAGGTATAATTGTTATTCACTCAGGAGATCTAAGTCGTTTAGCACATTATAATTCTTTAGGACCTTTTGGAAATACATTTCTTTTTCAGCCTTTTTTCTGCAGAGATTTCTTTTTTAATTAGAATTTTGAAGCACTATTAAATTGTAGAAGTTTACTGTTAAAACCAGTAAAATTATACTTTCAGTATATTTTTAGTGGAGAACTAGTAAAGTACTCTGAGTGACAGTATGGGGAAAGCGGTCCATTTCAGAATCCTCCCTAGAAACTAGAAGTTGTGAGGCAGACACATCACATTTATCTTTAGGATGTACCGAAATGGTGTTCGGAAGCATACTCGGAAATGTTATGAAAGTTCCCAGTAATTGATTATGTAATAACCTAATGTGGTCCACTATTATTTACAGCTAAACAAACAAAAACACCTAAAATTAATAGTTCATTAGGCTTCAGCAGAGCAGCAAGCTCCTGCCTTGGTTAAGCAAAATGGCTTTCCTAGTCTAATATATCTGAGGGTAACGTGGGCACCTTCCCACAATGTGGCCTGAAATACCATGGGGGCTGGGGGAGGGGCTGGTGGTAGGCGAGACCGACAAGTGTTTTACACAAAACACTTAACTGTCCTTCATTTGTGTACATTTTAAGCAGTTTTTTAGGCGCTTGTTAAGGCTGATTTGGTTAGTTGTCAGTGATAGCATTTATGCTAATTTCCACTCAAGTGCAACTTGGAAAAGGCTGAAAACCAAACACATGTATTTATGGAGATTATCCATGTGATATACCTATAAGAAATACTCCCTTTTTGGTGTGTTTTCATCGAAAAGTAAGGTTAATTTCTTTGCAGGAGTGTTAATCCACAAAGTAAACTTTTGCTTTTGTTTTTTTTCTTCTCTTCAGGGATATCCCAGAGAAGGAAGGAAATACCCTTTGCCACCACCCTCAGGAAGATACAGTTGGAATTAGGCTTTTGTAAAGCTTTCCCAGATCCTTTCATCATTCTACAGTTTTATGCTATTTGTGGAAAGATTTCTTTCTCAAGTAGTAGTTTTTAATAAAACTACAGTACTTTGTGTATTTCTTTTAACTGTATATTTCTACTGATTCGATCTCACTGTTTTATGTTGCTTTCCAAAGATGTGTGTTGCATAATACAGTGGATCTGAATTTATTATTGCTTGTAAAACACATTTGATGGAATAGGAATACTGGTTTTTCATTATGGTTAAAAAGCAAACCAGCTGTGGATTTCAAAACACAGTGTATTCTAGATCATCTAAGATCCATGCTGATTTTTAATGCAAAAGAATTAGGTATGAACTCTTGAGCTGGAACCCTCAGCTAACTATAGAGTGTATATTGTTCAGTATTTCTTTGGGAACATTTCATTGATGTACTTGTCATATGGAAATTTCTGGACTTTAGTAAAAAACAATGCAAAACTTAGAACTCTGGTCTCTCTTGTTGTTTTTCTTTTACAGTATTTAAACTTTGAAAATCTTGGCCAAGTGTGTGGGGTTTTTTTAATCAATATATCAGAATTTTCTACAATTAGATGTCCAAAAAAAAAAAAAATCAATGAAGAAGTAGATTTTAAGAGGATATGGTCAGAAAGACAACCCAACTGACTCATGTATGCCTTTCCACTACTAATTTGGCAAATTATAAAATCTTCGTGAGATTATCTACATTTTACAAATTTCAGGCCATATTTGTGCTGCTGTTTTAAAGATTTGTTTTAAATCTTTGCGAATTCTCAAAGTTTGAGAAAAATTTTTGAGAAAAGTTCAGGGGGGTGGTGATGAGTGAGACATGAGGAAGGTTGTGGTATAAATAAACTTCCAGTTACAAAATAAATGAGTCATAGGATGAAATTTACAGCATGGAGAATATAATCAATAATACTATTTTTGTATGGTGACAGATGGTAACTAGATTTATTGTGGTGATCATTTTGTAACGTATAGAAATCTGGAATCAGTCTGTGCTCCTGGAACTAATGCAGTGTTGTAGGTCGGTTATACTTTAGTTGAAAAAAAAAAACACGCACACACAATGGAAGAGCAGAAAGAAAGAAGAAAACTTGAAAAGTTTTGGACTTCCTTAGTGGTCCAGTGATTAAGTATCTGCCAGCCAATGTAATTCCCAGTCCGAGAAGATTCCACATGCCACGGGGTGACTAAGCCCCAGCACTGCAACTACTGAAGCCCACTTGCCCTAGAGCCTGTGCTCAACAAGGAAAACCTGCACACCACAACTGGAGAAGCCCGGAGTGCAGCAACGAACACCCAGCACAGCCAGAAATGAATAAATAAAGGATTTAAAAAAGAAAACCTGAGAAGTTTAATTCCTAGGTAAATTGTGTATGCTCCTTGGTATATTTTTGATTATTTCACAATAGATTCCAATTTGTACTCATTTTTTCCTTGCTACTAAGTACACTAATTCCTTAAATTTATGCTTGCAGGTCATACACAAGCACTTCCATATGATTTTCATTTTCCCCAACAAATTTAGACACACGTATGAAGACTTGTCCACTTTTCCATTCTAGCCTCAGATTGTTAAATGTTTCTGTCTTTCTGACTTTCAACATTTTTGCTTTAATATTCAACCAAGGCAACTTGTTAATTTTAAATCTATTCAGGAAAAATCCCACCTTAACCTTGGATAGGAAGGTATTTTGAAGCTATTGAGTTCATTGCTGATGATGGGTGAATAGAGCAGCGTTCTTTTGTTGAGATAAAGAGTCTCTGAATTAACCATTATATATTACCATAACAATACAGTGAAGGAACAATGCTGTTTATCTTCTGAATATTAAAAATGTGTAACACCTGATTCAAGTATTGCATATTCCAAAGGAGCCCATGTACATGTCTTAGGGTATACAGCTTCCTAAGTACCCTAGAGCCATGCTTCTACAGGACCTAGATTTTCTCAGATCTTTAATTTTGGCCTAGTTTTATAAGTTTTCATGAGCATATCTGAAATAATTGTTTTTGACTTGGTTTTTTGCATCATTGCACGTAACTGATCAAAACACATTAAGTTTGAAAATGTTTTTAAGTGTCATCTAAGCAAAAAAGCCTGATGGAAAATTAAGCCCCGAGCTTTCCTCTAGCAGGTGGTGAGCCCTGGTTTCCTTCTCTCTCCTCACTCTGACATCACTTTCCAACTTATCCCCACGTTTGAATCTTCCAGAAAAAGTCCCCGTTATTTCAACAAAGGCCTTTTAGAACTTTCAATGGCGCTAAAGCTGTAGCTAGCCCCCTCCACACTCAGGAGTAAATGAAGCCAACGGGTGAGTTCTGTGTAGTTAACTGTACTCCAACTTACTATGCTTGAGTAGGGCCAAGTTTTTCAGGGTCTCAAGTTGAAGGTTTTTAAGCATTTAAGAACCTGGGAACAGGCCGACTTTATCGTATCGCTGAGAGCCGGTGGTGAGCGTCTGTCTTCAGGGTGAGTTCGAGGGCAGCACACGGTCATCCGTCCATCCCGGAGCGCTGTCCGGCCGCGCGGCGTCGGGGAAGCCCGTGGGGAGGTGACCTGCAGGCTGACCCCGAGCCAGGGCCGGGCGGGCGGCTCAGGGGGGCGCGCGTCGGCGGCATCATCACCCGGGTTCCCTGGGTCGCGCGCCGCAGCTTCGCCGCCGGCCAGTGTCGTCTCGGCTCCCCGCACGGATGCGATCATCAGCCCTGGAAGGAGACAACGAAAAGGGTCTTCGAGGCAGCTGTTTTTTCAGTTCTAAGCCTGAGGGTAAGTGAATTTTGCTTGGCTTGGAAATCAGAATGTAGCCGTTCTCCGACGTAACCTGGAAGCCAGGTTCGCAGGCGGCGCGGTCCCGGGCGTGGCCTGCATCCGCCTCGTCCGGCCCCGCGGCTGCCTGGAGCAGTCCCGCTAGCCTCCGGCCCGCGAGCACCAAAACTAATCAACTAGCAAGCGGCCCATTCTCGGAGGATTTCTTCTCCACTCAGGGTGAGGTGAACGTCTGCATTGCTAGTTATCTGATACCGCATATATGGCACGAGGGGCAGAGGTAACAGGCTTTAATTAGTGTGTGGGAAATGGGAATGGAACCATTTACTACCGCGAAACAGTTTGCACAGCTTAAACTTAGGCAACATTTGTGATTAAAATTTTATTAGAAATCACCTAAGCAACTACTGAAAGAGGTTACATGGAAATTTAGAAACTGAAATAAAAGGCATTTCATGCCAACATTCTAAAGCAAAAACAAAAGAAACCAAAACACCTCTCAGAAGCTTCCAAACCTCCGTGCTCAAAAAATGATGACATAAAAGTGATCCTAAAATCACAAAGTGATCTCAATACTTACTGGAGCGAGCGACTCCTGATTTCAAGTCTTCTTTGAATCTTCTCCAGATGCTCACCAATTTTCACTAGCAGCAAAAGTCTACTTATTTAATTCATTTTTAATAAAATGTATCTTGGTGCCGTGTCTCATTGGATTTGAGAATGGCAAGTAGCAGTATTTTTAAAAACTGGACTTGAGTAATTAACATACAGAGTTTTATCCACATATTAATGTTAACGTTAAATAGCTGCGTGGTATCATTCATATTCTCAACTACATCTGAAACTTTTATCATCACTACACTGTGCATTATCTTATGCACAAATTCTTATCTAAAAATCCAGTCATGGGTCTTTATGTGATTATGGTTCACAAATTTAAAAGTCTTTCTAAAAGTCATCATTACGAAATGCAGCTAACAAAGCAAGTCTTTGGAAGGTGCTTGCATTTAGTGAACAGGATTGTGTCTCTGATTTGCTTTAAATTGAAAGTAAACAGTCAATAGCAGAATGGAATTTGGACACAACATCTGTGTTGATAAAAGTCTGACTGACTTACTTGTTCTGACTGTTAGGTTTTAGTTCTAAGCAAAGCCTTAAACAGAAGACAACTGGGTTACACCCCCTCTTCCATGTACAAAACACCCTGTATCTTTCAACATTGGGCGCGCGTACGCACACACACCACTTCAATTTAAATCCCAACACAGATTTCAGAAAAGTACCTGCAATCTCCGCTGTTCCTCTCTGCCACTTGGATTCTGGATTTTGGTTTCTGTGCCTCAATTGGGAAAAAATAGGTTAGAGTGCTGTAAAACCCCAAAAACCTTTAGGAAACTGTGACATCCGCAGTTAGCATTTCTCAAACCGAGTTTTGCTGTGGCCTCTGCTAAACTTTGGAGGGGCTTTGTTCCCACTTAAGACTGCGCCAACCTCCCTCTTGGTTGTGAAGACACTTATCCTCCTCTTCAGTTAATGAGTTTCACCTAGTCTGGCCGTTTGTGTTTTTATAAAAGATCTGCAAAGCACTAATTGCAAAAGAAGGAAAAAAAGCTTATGTTTCGCATTAATCAGAATGTGGAATTCTACAGTATAAACATTTTCTATTTTAATGTTTCAAAAACAAACCTTATCCTAATTTCTGGGTGTGCACACACAAATTCAGTACACTTCTGGGTGTAGAATGTGAAGCTCTCTGCAGCAATTACCTCTGGCCTGAGTCCCTTACTATTTAAAGGAACTCTGAAGGGAAAAAGATGCCTGGACCAAATACACTTTCAGAAAATATTGTATAAAGAAGGCTGTTTCTTCTTAATGGTCTTTTTGATTGATAGTTCAGTTAGTCTAAGGGATTTTTTTGTTCCAAAAATTATCAAAGGAAAAACTGTGCATGAAGAGTTATTTTCTTTAAATATGTTACTCAGAACCCTTAGTCCATAAGCTACTGCTTTTGTTAAGTATTGGGCTGTAAAAAAAAAAAAAGAAAAAAAAATTTACAAACCATGTGAACTTTTATAACATGTTTTCTAGAAGCAGAATTTCAGAATTTGAAGTAATCAATATAAAGAAGCATTTTAAAATCTGGCACATTAGTAATAGTTATGCTAGCCTGGCTAGCTTTTGAAAATCAATTTTATTAGCATGCAAAAACTCAAACTGGGAGAATTTTCTGAAAGTGTACTGCATCATTTTCATATTTTTTCTCAAATTTTATGTAAAATGTGTTAAAAATCAGTTATCATTTTACAAAATGCATTCACAGCCCCTTGATAAAGACTGAGTCACTTGCTTCTTTAGTGTTTTTTTTTTTCTCTTTGTGAAAGGAACTGGAGTTTTTAATTATTATTAGTTTACTGTAGAAAATATATTTAGAGAAAGTGCAACTTTTAAAAACACTTTGCACAGTTCAGAAAAATACCCAAGCAATGAAATGAAATAAAATGTTTCATTTCAAACTATAATTCTAAAATTTCAAATGTAGAAGAGGTTTAGGGTCTCTGGGAAATGTTTTGGTCATTTGGAAAACATGCATTATCCATGTTTTTCTTCATTTTATGAACTCACTTTCTCCAGTCTTCTTTTAGCATTTTTAATCTACTACCAATTCTTTAAATCGTGAATAAACTGAGCTGTGTTGTCACATCATGCCAACTAGTGTTAAAAAAAAAAAGCCTATACAACTTAGTGAAAAAGAAATGATCATTTGAAATTTACCAAAAAAAAAGTACTTAAATTCTTTTAAGTTATATTTAAATATCCCTTTGAAACATAGGAAATATAAATCAGCATATTAAAGAGTAAATACATTATTTGTACAGGAAACCACCAACAAAATCGGTGTGTAACCCCTATTAACTTCTAAATATGAGAAAATAATATTTTACTGATTCTTTACACACTGATTACCATTCAATAAGTCATCTTATTTTCTTCCTTCTTGATATGCTTGAAAAATAGATTAATTGATGTCTGTTTTAGCAATTTTGCTTGCTTGTTCTAGTGTTTTATCAAGGTACTTTAATTCAGATATCAAATACCTTAGAAAGAGTAAATAACATGTCTGTAGAATAGGGTATAATTTATTTTGTCCGTTGATTTTGGGAGACCAGTTTCCATATAAAAAGTAGCTTACAATCCTTTCTTTTGATGAACTGCATCTTAGGAGGAAAAGCCTCTTTTAGGATAATATACAAACACTCATTGCCAAATCATGATCGAAACATTTAAAAAACAGCATTAAGTTTAAAAAGCTATATCAATTCGTATAAGCAATATTTTGATTACGTTTATTCCATTTCTCTAAATGGCAATAACTCCTCTGCAGTAATGTTGCTATGTGCATGATCCACCTTGAGCTACAATTCACTTTCCATCAAACATTAATGAAATTGCACTTAAGCGGGGGCGGGGGGAGCGGTGGAGGAGGGGGTCGAAAGTTAATCTCCCAAGGTAAGTTCCACTTCAAGAAGAAAACCTTGTTAAAGCTGGGTTGATTTTTAGAGCTACAACCACCACCTAAGTCTCCAACGTTTAAAACTCCGAGAGCTTTGGTTAGGAACGTGGTGGTGGATGTGGACTCGGCCGGCTTTTTACACAATTTAGGAACCTCCGCAAAGAGGAAATCACCTCAAAGCTTCCTGGCCGGCGCGATCTCAGGGTTCGATCCCGGGGCTTGTCGCGTCCCCACCCGCACCGGAGGCCCGGCGCCCGCCCCTCTCCGCAATCCGTCCGTCCGCTCGCGAGCGGCGGCCCCGCCGTCGGCGCGCGCAGACCCTCGGGCGGCGGCGGGACCCCCGGCAAGCCGCGCCGTCACCACGTCCGGCCGTAGAGCAGGTTGGCGCCCAGCGCGCCGCCGCCGTAGTCCCCCGCCGCCGCCGCGTCCAACCCCGCCAGGCCTGCCCCCGCGCCCTGCAGCGCGGGCGGGCTGGGCGACAGCTCCTCCAGCTCCGGCGTCGGCGCGGGCGGCTGCGGGCCGGCCTGGGGCGTCGGCGTGGCCGCGCCGTTCTGGCAGGGCTTGCCGTCCTTGACCAGCACGGGCACGGCCACGCGGCGCGGCGACGACGGCGGCGGCGGCGGGGGGCCCAGGCCGGCCTCCTGCTGCAGCTGCTGCGCCGCCTTGTCCTTGGCCTGGCGCTTCATCTTGTAGCGGTGGTTCTGGAACCAGATCTTCACCTGCGTGGGCGTCAGGTGGATCATGCTGGCCAGGTGCTCGCGCTCGGGCGCTGACAGGTACTTCTGCTGCTTGAAGCGCCGCTCCAGCTCGTACACTTGCGCCTGCGAGAAGAGCACGCGGCGCTTCCTCCGCGGCGCTGCCGCAGCGTGCAGGGGCGCCAGCGACTTGGCCGCGTCCGCGATGCCCGTCAGCGACCCCATGCCGGCCACGTTCACGCCCGCCGACGGCCCCATGAACCTGGAGACTGGGGAGGGGCCCAAGGGGAAGACCGGTCAGCCGCCGCCGCCCCGCTCTCTTCACACCGCGGCGGCCGCGACGCCGGCGGGGCCGGGTGGGTCCCAGGACGCCCCGCGCGCTCGGGGCCCCAGGGTCCAAGGACGCTCCGCGTGCTCAAGGTCTCAGGACGCCCAGCGCGCTCAGGGACCCAGGGTCCGAGGACGCCCCGCGCGCTCAGTTCCCAGGGTCCCGGGACGCCCCGCGCGCTCAGGGTCCCAGGATCCCGGGACGCCCCGCGAGCTCAGGGCCCCAGGGTCCCGGGACGCCCCGCGCGCTCAGTGTCTCGGGGTCCCCCGCGCGCTCCCTGAGCCCCGGGCTGCGGCGGGGAAGTCCCGCGCCTTCCGCAGCCCTCCGTCCCGCGCTCCTCGCCCCGCTCACTTGACGAGTAGCGCGGGTCCGGGTTGGCGCCGTACCAGCCGGTGGCCGC